TAATTTCTTTGACTAAATCCTTTGTGCTTCTGGTTAGATTTACTCCCAAGTATTTAATCTTGTCACTAGTTATTGTGAAGGGTATTGTTTTTCTTAGCTCTAGCTCTATTATCTTTGTCACTGTAGAGAAATCCAACTGATTTTTGTATGTTGATCTTATATCCTGCCACTTTGCTGAATTTGTCAACTGTGTCCAGTAGTTTCCTTGCTGAATCTTAAAGGGTTTTCTAAATACACTCTCATATCATCTGCATAGAGAGATAATTTTTACCTCCTCTTTTCCAATTTGGATACTTTTATATCTTTCTCTTGTTTTATTTCTATTGCTAAGACTTCCAATACAATATTGAAGAGAGGTTATAGTGGGCATCCTTGCCTAGTTCCTGTTCTTAAATGAAGAATGTCTTTAATCTCTCTCCATTCACAACAATGTTGTCTCTTGGGTTTGTGTGTGTACTTTTTATTATGTTGAAGAAATTCCCCTCATCCTATTTTGTTGAGGGTTTTAATCAGGAAAGAGTGTTGGATTTTGTCAAAGGCCTTTTCTGCATCAGGTTATAGAATCATGTGGTTCTTGTTCAAGCTTTGTTTGTATGATGAGATGGTGAGTTACATTGATTATTTCCCCCTTTTTTTATGTTGAACCATCTTTGCATACCTTTTGTGAATCTCATTTGGTCATGGTGAATTTTTTTTTTTTTTTAATATCTTGTTGGATTCTCTTGACCAAGATTTTATTCAGGATTTTTGTATCAATGCTCATGAGCCATATTGGTGTATAGTTTTCTATTTTGGTGGTGTCTTTACCTGGCTTTGGTATCAAGAATGTTTGCTTCAGAGACTGAGTCTGGGAGAATTCCATCTTTTTCTATTTTGTGATATAGTTTATGTAGAATTGGTGACAGGTTTTCTCTGAATGTTTGATAAAGTTCACTTTTAAAACCATCTGGTCCAACACTTTTTTGGCTGAATTTTGTTTTATTATTTTTTTCAATTTCTTTTTTAATGGGTCTGTCCAGGTGTTCAATTTCGGTTGATGTCAGTTTAGGTAGGTTGTGCATTTCTAAGTATTTGTCCATTTCCTCTAGGTTTTTATATTTGTTTGGATATAATTTTTCATAATATTCCAGTGTTAACCTTTTTATTTTAGTTGGCTGTGTTGTGACGTTGCCCATGTCATCTCTTATTCGGATTATTTGTGTCTTTTCCTTTGTTAGTTTTGTTAGTGGGTTTTTTTTATTTTATTGACCTTTTCAAAGAACCAACTCCTAGTTTTGTGCTGGTTTCAATTGTTTTTCTGTTTTCTATTTCATTTATTTCTGCTCTACTTTTTATAATTTCAGTTTTTTTAGAGGAAGTTGGGTTTTCTTGCTGTTCTTTTTCAAATTATTGGCGATGTTGGTCTAGAGAGTCAATTGTTATTTTTTCCTGCCTTTTGATATATTTGCTTATTGCTATAAATTGTCATCTTATTACGGCCTTTGGCTATTCAGAGATGTTGGTAAGTGGTATTTTCATTGTCATTTGTTTCAAGAAACTTTTAAATTTCATTTTTTAGTTTTTCTAGTGTCCAATCATGTTCAAGCAAGATGTTGTTCAGCTTCCAAATGTTTATTTTATTTTTCCTTTATCCTCTCGTTATTAATTTCTAATATTGTAGCATTGTGGTCTGAGAATATGCTTTGTATTATTTCTATGTTTTTGACTATATTAATGCCTGCCTTGTGACCTAAAATGTGATCTATTCTGGAGAATGTTCCATGCACATTGGAGAGGAAGGTATATTGTGGTCTGGGGGTTTTTTTGGGTTTTTTTTGTGCATTAATCTATAAATATCTATGAGGTTGAGTTGGTCTATTTGTGGTTTAATTCTTGAACACGTATGTTGAGTGTTTTACCTGGAAGTTGTATCTTTTTTTGAAAGAGGTCTATTGAAGTCTCCAACTATTATAGTAGTGTTGTGTATTTCCAGTTCCAGGTTTGTTAATGTTTGTTTTATATATTTTGTAGGTCTTTCATTTGGTGCATAGATATTTATTATTGTTATGGCCCCTTGTTCTCTTGACCCATTAAGCATTGTATATTGACCTTCCTTGTCCTTTGTGATTATTTTTGCATTGAAACTTATTTTATCAAAGATTAATATTGCTACTTTTGCTTTTTTCTGATTGCCATTTTCTTGGTATATTTTATTCCCTCATCCTTTTATTTTTAGTTTTTCTTTATCTTCATTTTTCAGAATTTTGATGATTTTTATTTTTTCATCAACTGTGTTACTCTTTTTCTCTTCAGTGTTGCATTCAAACCATTCATATTCAGTGTGATTATTGAAAGTCAGGGTTTTATTGCTATCATTTTGTTGAGTTCTTTTTAATGCTGTTGTTAGTTACTTTGGTCCATGCTGCTTTCTTTAACATCTCTCAGTGTTTCCTTCAACATTGGTCTTGTTTTTATCAACTCCCTTAGGTTCTGCTTTTCTGGGACTATCTTGATCTCTCCTTCATATTTGATAGACACTTTTGCTGGATACAGTATTCTTGGTTGATAGTTGTGTTCTTTGAGTGTTTGATATATGTCCTTCCACTGTCTTCTTGCTCACATGGTTTCTGTTGAGAAAATGGCATTTAATCTTATCTGTTCTCCCTTATAGGTTACTCTTTGTTTCTCCTTAACTGTTCTGAATTCTTTCCTTATCTTTGGTTCTCACAAATTTGACTATGATATGCCTTGGCGTTTTTCTTTTGGGGTCGATTCTATGGTGTTCACTCAGCTTCTTGAATATATATTCTTTCATTTTATATTATGCCTGGGAAGTTTTCCTGTAGTAATTCTTCCACAACTTTTTCGGGGCCTTTACTTGCTTCTTCCTGTTCTGGGATTTTGATTATGTGCATGTTATTTCTCTTGATGGTGTCCCACATTACTCTTAGGTTTTCTTCTTCTTCTTTCCTTTTTGATTTTGCTTTTTGCTCTAGCAGATCAGTGGTGACAATTCTATCTTCTGTTTCACTGATTCTGTGTTCCATCTCTTCAACTCTGCTCACGTGTCCCTCCATCTTGTTGACAGCATCTGAAACATTGGACCTCATATTTTGGATTGTGGTTTCTTGTTTTTCCAGTGCCACTAATGCCTTGTTTGTTTTATCTGCATTGTTCTGGATTGGTTTTTTTTTTCAGCTTTTCCTGGTTTTTGCATGTGTTGTTGTTGTTGTTGTTGTTATGTGCCATTGAGTTGCTTGCAACTCACAGCGACCCTATGTACAAGAGCCCTAAATGCCATTCTATCCTGTGCCAACCCTCGCCATCTCAAACACTCTTATTCCCACCACTCCATTCACAGAATCGATCCATCTCATCGAGGGTCTTCCTGCGCCATCCCTCCAGTCTCCCAAACATGATGTCCCTCTCTAAGGACCAGTCCCTCCTTGCAACATGCCCAAAGTATGTCAGATGAAGCTTCAGAATCCTTGACTCCAGGGAACATTCTGGCTTCATCCTCTCCAGGATAAGCCTGTTTGTTCTCCAAGCAGTCCATGGTATATTCAACACTCTTCTCCAACACCACAGCTCAAAGGCATCAATTCTCTTTCTGTCATCCCTATTCACTGTCCAAGTCTCCAATGCATAGCATGTGGTGTCCTGTAATTCTTCAAGTTTGGTTTTCACCCATTGAAAATATTCAATTATTGTTCTTTTAAATTCTGTGTCAGGGAGTTCCATCAGACTTTCTGGCTTCAAGAAAGCCATTGGTACTGTGTCACCTTTTTGAGGTGACATCTGCTTTGTGCTTTTGCAGGGTGTGGTATAGCCTGTTTCTTTCATGATATTTATAGGTTCTTGATCTGAAGACAATGCTCTAGAAATCCTTGGGGCAGCTACCCCACCTGTGTTTCTCTCTGAACTTCTGACTCAAGGGAAGGTTCAGTACAGGACCTTTGAGAGCATCCTCTTTTAGCTAAGTCAGATCTAGGTGCTGCAGATTAAAGGCAAGTTGATTTACTGGACGTGTAGACACAGGTGTAGAGCTGAATGGGGGGCAGGGTAGGCACAAGGGGTGGGACGACCATGAAGACAGGTCACTTACAGGGACCTCACCCAGATTTTAGCTGTTTGGGTGTGCTCACAAGTGGGTACCTACTCAAATTCCAGATGTCCATCTCCCACCCAGTGACTCTCGCTTAGCCCTCACCCAGGTGCGCTTGCCCAGCGGCCAGTGTCCCAGCAGGGCCCTGGGTCCAGTGGGGCTTAAGAAAACTTAGTCAAATTCCCACTGATCCACTTATGTCTGGTTGGTCAAAGGGGCCCAAGAAAACTCCATAGAATTCCTACTGACTTGCTTCCACCTGGTGAGTTGGCAGGGCTTCGAAAACTCAGTCAATTTCCTGCTGATCTTCTTGCTCCTGGGGGTAGAGGGTGGGGGTTGTCCCATAGCATCTTGGCTTGCGGCTTCCACTGAAACCCAAGGCTTGCTGCTCCTGTGGCTCCCAAACTAATTGTTTTAATAAAAGTTCTGACTCAAATTACTACTGTCCACGTCTCGGCACGTTGGTCTCTGTGTGCTGCGTTGGTCTCTGGTGGCATGTTTGCATGCAGCTTGCAGCTCCTCCAACTCCTCCACTGCTGCCATTTTGGTACTCCCTATTTATAAACTTTTAAGGCCCTATTCAAGACTTACTGAAGTAAAATAATGGCTTTGTAGACTGTATTATACCAATTGATCTTGACATCACCTAAATTTATAGTCATTGAAGTATTCTCTCAGGGTATTTGGTTATGATTAAGGAGTTTGTATTACTTTATCCTCTCTTGACTTTTCTCTTGGCTTTTTCATGTATACATGTATGGATCTAATGGCATAGCTCCTTGTATCAAAGCAAGTGCAGTGAAATGAACTAACAGATGGATAATAACTGTATTGTCTACTTACCTGTATTATTGTTTCTAAAAGAAATGTCTTAATGTTGTGGTATAAATAATTATGTATTTTTTAATTTTTATAGATCTGGAAACTCAAAGGATCAAGACAGTTCACCGGATCAAAACAATATAGATAGTATTACAACAGCACAAAGTTTTCATATAAACTCTCAGACTAGTGGTTATTCATGGAAGAAAGGAAAAAGTTTTACACCATCACAGACTTTGATTTTCAATGAAAGGTACGTATTTGTTCTAAGCATGACATGTTTTTGTATTTTTTCCCCACCAGTTTGTTTTTCTTTTAATTTTAAGCATGACATATTTTAATTACTTATTAACAAATCTAACAATTAACTTCAAAACTTGGTTTTAATATTGTTATTAGGTGCTATTGAGTCTATCCTGACATATAGCTACAAAATGGAACAGTGCCCTCTCCTGTATCAACCTTATAATTGTTGCTGTGTTTGAACCCATTGTTATAGCAACTGTGACAGTCTCTTTTGTTGAGGATCTTTCCTTTTTTTTTGCCCCCCAAAGACTGTCTACATTTCCAAGCATAATGTGTCTCAGAGACTTATCTTTCCTGAAAACAGAATAAAATTTGTGAGGTTAAGTCTCACTAATCTTCCTTCTAAGTAGCTTTCTGACTGTACACCTCCAGGACAGATTTGGGGTTTTTTTTAGCTGTTTATGATACTTGGCCACCATCATAATTCAAAGGTGTTGTTGCTGTTGATAAGTGCCATTGAGTCGAATATAACTCACAGCAACTCTGTGAACTTTGCCCTAGCCTCGTCATCTTTGAAATACATGGATCTTTCTATTAGTGTTCCAGCTCTCACATGCTTGTTAGACTTTTGAAAGTACAGTGGCTTGAGTAAAGTACAGCATATCCTCAATGTGACATCTGCGTTTTTACTCTTTAAAGAAATCTTTTATAGCAGATAGACCTAATACAGTGTATCTAGTGCATCTCTTGATTTCTTCAATGTTGCTTCCATGGGCTTTGACTATAGATTTAAAAAAAGTGAAATCCTTGACAACCCCAGTATTTTGGCTTTCTATTTTGATGTTGCCTATTGTTCCAGTTGTGAGGATATTTCCCCTCATTATGCTGAGGTGCAATCTATTCTAAAGCCTCAAATTTTTATCTTCATAATAAGTGCTTCAAGTCCTCTTTTCTTTCAGTAAGCAAATTTTATGACTTCTGTGCATTATAGGTTGAAAGGAATCTTCCTCAACTCCTAATATTATTATTCATATAATTTAGCTACTTGGATTATTTCCTTAGTATATAGGTTGAATAAGTATGATAAAAGGGTATAATGATGGTGCACATTTTTCCTGATTTTTTTTTTGCTTTCCTGATACTAAACCATGCAATATCCCCTTGTTTTGACTAAGTATAGGTCCCTGATGAGTATAATTAAGTGTTGTGGAAGTCTCGTTTTTGACAATGTTATCCGTAATTTATTACATTTCACACAGTCCAGTGCCTTGGCATTTAATGACATTTTGCTTTCTTCACGTGTATATCTTTGTAGTTACCCCACAATTTGAATGATCTCTTAGAATATAATTGTTTAACAATGTCAGTGGGATGGGAATCTGGGCAGATTAGCTAGCTGCGGCTTTACTTAGTAAGGTTGCTGTTAAGATGTTCATCTGACTTGTGGTCTTCTAAAGGCTTAACTAGAGGATCTTCTTATGTGATGGCCAGCTGTTATGTCTAGTTAGAAGCCTGCTTCCTTGCTGGCTATTGTCAGGCCACCTCAGTCCTTTATTTAATGGACTGTCATTTAAACCATGTATTTTAAATGACCTTGTCTTTGAAGTTTTAGAAGATCACTTTTACTTTATTAAGAAGTCAGTAAGCCTTGACCACATTGAAGGGGAAAGGAATTGACTTTTCCTATGTCGGAGATGAAAAGATGAGAAAAAATGGGGTTGCTTTCATAATTTAAAAAGTAATTTCTAGCTCCATCTTGATATACAGTGTGGTGAGTGACAGGATAACATCCATACACATACAAGAAAGTCCAGTGAATACCACTATTATTCCAGTATATGCACTGAGAACTAAAGCCAAAGGGGAGGAAATAGAAGATTTCTACCAAAGTTTGCAGTCAGAAATCAATTAAATATGCAATTAAGATGCATTAATAATAATGGATAACTGGAATGCAAAAGTTAGGAACAGGGAAGAGGGATCAGTAATTGGAAAACATGGACTTAGTGACAGAAATGAAGCTGGAGATAAAATGATAGAATTCTGTACATTCAATGATTTATTCATCGCATATACCTTTTATAGGAAATACAGATGCAGGCAATACATATGGATTTCACCTGATGGTATGCGTAGGAATACAATTGATTGAATTTGTGAGAAGAATCACTGGAAAAGCTCAGTATCACCTGTGAAAACTAGGCCAGGTGCTGATTGTGGAACAGACCATCAATTACTTATATGCAAGTTCAAGCTGAAGTTGAAGAAAATTAAATTCACAGGAACCAAAATTTGACCTTAAGTATATCCCACTCGAATTTTAAAACCATCTCAGAAATGGGTTTGAGTACTTGAACACTAATGAGCAAAGACTAACTGAGCTGTGGAATAATACCAAGAATATCATCGATGAAGAATTCAGAAAGTCATTACAAAGGCAGAAGAGGAAGAAAAGACCAAGATAGATATCAGAGGAGACTCTGAATATTACACTGGAGCACCGAGAAGCCAAAGCAAAAGGAAAAAATAATAAATTAAGGAGCTGAACTGAAGATTTCAAAGGGCAACTTGGAAAGAAAAAGCAAAGTATTATAATGACATGTGCAAAGAGCTGGAGTCAGAATAACCAAAAGGGCCTAATTTGCTCAGGATTTCTTAAGCTGAAGGAATTAAAGAACAAATTCAAGCTACAAGTTGCAGTACTTAAGGACTGAGCAGAATATTAAATGATCCAAGAAACATTAAAAGAAGATATAAGTATACAGACTCACTGTACCAAATGGAAGTGGCTGACAGAGAAGAATATCATGAAACAATGTATGAGCAAGAGTCTGTGGTGAGGAAGGAAGAAGTTGAAGCTGCTCTGAAAGAATTGGCAAAAAACAAGCCTCCAATAATTGATGGCATACCAATTGACATATTTCAACAATCAGACACTGCCCTTGATGTGCTTACTAAGCTGTGGCAAGAAACCTGGAGGACAACCAGCTGGCCAGTTGACTGGAAGAGATCTGTATTTGTTCCCATTCCAAAGAAAGGTGACCCCACAGAGTGTGGAAATAATTGAATAATACCATGGTCTTCTCAATTACTTGTTATGCTTCAGAGAGTTGGACAATAACTAAGGATGACAGAAGAAAAATAGATGCCAAGAAAACAAATAGGTTTGTCTTGGAGAGGGTGAAACCAAATCTCTTATTCGAGGCTAGGATTTTGAAGCTCCATCTCACTTACTTTGGGCAGGTGGCCAGGAGAGATAAGTCCTTGGAGTAGGACATCATGTTTGGAAGGGTGGACGGACAGCGGACAGCGCAGGAGAGAGACCCCCAGATGAGACATATTGATACAGTAACTAGGGCTATAGGGGTTGGTGTGTCAGAATTAGTGAGACTAGTTCATGACATGAAAGGGTTTAGAGCTGCTCACTGGCTACTCAGTGACACATAACAACAGTAACATACTATGACAGGTTTGGAAGCAGGAGTGACATCCACTTCCTAAATAACATGCCTCTGGAAACTCTATGAACTTTGATAAATGTCTGTAGTTGTAAAGGGGCTTCAGGCCTTTTGTTCATTGGGTCACTTTGAGTAGTGCTTGACTCAAAGGCAGTCAGCTACAACAACATCATTAATATCACATACAAGGAGGATTTTGCTGAAAATCATCCAAAAATGGCTGGAACAGTACATTAACAAAGATCTACCAGATGTGCAGGCTGGGTTTAGAAGAGGCTGTGGTACTAGAGATTTTATAGCTAATAGGATGGCAAACAGATACATGAAGGAATGTTCAAAATCCCGAGCTCTAAAAGATGTAAATCAAAACACTATGAGCCATCCTGTCACTCTAATAACAACAGCGAAGTTCAACATAGTAGTAAACAACAGATGCTGGTGAGGTTGTGGAGAAATTTGAACCCTTTTTCACTGTTGGTGGGAATGTAAAATGTTACAGTCACTCTGGGAGGCATTATATCGCTTTCTCAAAAACTTGCAAATAGAAATACCTTTTGACCCAGCAATTCCATTACTGGGAATACACCCTAAAAAAACCAAAACTGTCACCCAAACAGATAATGATAATGCATGACTATGTTTATTGCTGCTTTGTTCACAATAACAAAGAGATGGAAGCAACTCAAGTGCCCATCAGCAAATGAATGGATAGAAAAACGTGTGGTATATTCACACAATGGAATACTACACAGCACTTGAAAACAAGGAACTAATGAAATATTATACAAAATTATTGACCCTGGAGGACATTATGTTGAGTGAAATATCTCAGTCACAAAAGGACAAATACCACATAATGCCACTGTTATTAAACAGGACTGACATCGGGGTTGGGGGGAAACGAAGAAAAGTAGGGGTAAATACTGAAGATGGCATTGAAACAGATGAGGGAAGGAACTGTTTAAAAGGACTATATGATTAGGTATTATTTGCATGACAACAGTCCAGAATAAGGTGAATAGTGGTCTAAGGGATGTGGAGGGAGGAAATTGTGCAACAGCAAAAGAATCTTTTTAAAGTGAAAAGTGTACTTGGGGTGGGAGGGTAGGGAGGAAAATGTGCAACAATGAGTGAATGGAAATTCAAGTTTTCTGTTAATTTTTGTTAACATTAATAAAAAAAATACTTTTAGAAAAAGAGAGACTGAATATTGCACTAGAGTACTGAGAGGCCTTAGCAAAGGGAAGAAATAAGCAAATTAAGGAGCCGAACAGATTTCAAAGGGCAACTTTAGAGCTCCAAGCAAAGGACTATAAAAATGTGCAAGGAGCTAGAGTTGGAAAAATCAAAGGGGACGGACTTCCTCGGCATTTAAGCTGAAGGAACGGAAGAACAAATTCATGCCTCAAATTGCATTAAGAAATCTGTGGAACATGTTCAAAAGGCAGTGGTGATGAAGAAAGAAGTTCAAGCTGCTCTGAATGAATTGGCAAAAAACAACCTTCTAAGAATTGATGCAGTACCAATAAACATGTTTCAAGAAACAGATATGTGCTTGCTAGATTTTGCCAAGAATTCTGGAGATCAACCACCTGGCTAATTGACTGTAATGAGATCTGTAGTTATTCCCTTTACAAAAAAAAGGTGATCTGACAGAGTGTGGAAATTATCAAACAATGTCCCCAATTATCATACTAAAGTATTGAAGATAATCTAGAATGACTGGAACTATACATGAACAAAGAACTACCAGAAATGGAAGGTTGATTTAAAAGAGACTGTAGCATTAGGGACATTATTGCCAATCTCAGATGGATCTTGTTTGAAAGCAGAGAGTACCAGAAGAATGTTTTTATCTGTGTTTCATTAACTATGCAAAGGCATTTGACTGTGTGGACCACAATAAATTATGACTAACCTTGAGAAGAATGGGAATCCCAGAACACCTGACTGTGCTCATGAGAAACGTATACTTGGACCAAGAAGCAGTCTTCATAACAAGGAAACACGGCATAGTTTGTTATCAGGAAGGAAGTGCATCAGGGATTCATGCTTTCTCCATATAATTTCAATCTAGATATTGAACAGATCATTCAAGAGGTTGGATTTTATAAGGAGGAATGAGACATCAGGATTGGAACAAGACTCATCAGTAGCCTGTGCTATGCAGGTGACACAACTTTGTTTACTGAAACTGAGGAGGGCCAGAAATATTTGCTGCAGAAGGTCAAGGACTATAGTCTGCAATATGACTTGAAGCTCAACACCAAGAAAGCAAAGTTTATCACCATTGGGCCAGTTAGCAGCACTATGATAGGTAGAACAGAAATTGAGATTGTTAGGAATTTCAGCTTTCTTAGTTCCACAATCGACATTTTAGCACTAGCAGTCAGGAAACCCAAAGATTAATTAGATTAGATAAAACTTCTGTCAGAGACCTCTAGAGTGCTTAATAACAGTGACGTCAGTATAGAGACTAAGGTATGCTTGATCTAGTCCATGGTCTTTGCAATTACTAGCTATGTCTCAGAGAACTGGACAGTGACTAGGGTTGACAGAAGAAGAATTGATTCCTTTGAGTTGTGGTGCTGTAGAAGAGTATTGAACATACTTTGGACTTCCAAGAGAACAGTTATGTCCTGGAGAGGGTGAAACCAAGCTACTCGTTGGAAGCAAGGATTTTGAAGCACTATGTCACATACTTTGGATATTTTGCCAGGAAGGGCCAGTCCTTGGAGAAGGACATCAAACTTGGAAAGGTAGAGGAACAGTGCAGGGCAGGAAGACCTTAGATGAGATGGATTGACACAGTTATCTGAGATAATTAGGGTAAGTGTGTCAGAGGCAATGAAGATTCAATATAGAGCAAGGTTCATAGTTGTGCATAGGATCACTAAGTGGTAGTCACTTCTATGAGACACAAAAATATTGTGAATAATAATACAGGGATGTGCATATATCCATTTGCTTCACAGCTCTGAGTTTTTAGAGTATAATCCCAGTAGTGGGACAACTGGATCAAATGGTATTTATATTTCAAACTTTTGAGAAAGCATCAGACTGTTTTTCATCATAGTTGTATCATTTTATGTTGCCACAAGCAGTAAATGGAAGTTCTAATCTCTCCACATCCTCACTAGAATTTTTTGTTTGCTGTCCTGTTGAACTTTGCTATTGTTGTTAGGGTGAGATGGTATTTCATTGTTTTTATTTGCATCTCTCTGCTAGCTAGGAATTTTGAACATTTTTTGATGTGTTGGAATTCAAGAGGACTACATTTTAAATGCCTTCCTTTTTGTTTTTTATTGTCGTTTTTATAAAGTAGGAATGTTTATAATTTTAACTTTGATATTTGTTTTTATGTAAAATAAAATGTATAATGCATTTATAATTTGAAATTTACAATGCATACATTTTCCACATTTCCAATTCAATGAGAAAAGTTATAGTAATAATTTTGCACAACTGTAACCAAATTTTTCATGTTGTTGTTGTTGTTGTTGTTATGTGCCCTCGAGTGGCCTGCGACTCAAAGCAACCCTATGTACAACAGCTCTATACTCCGCTCTGTCCTGTGCCAATCGCACTGTCTCTGAC